CCACATAGAGGATGCATATTTTTGAAGCAGGCATTTGGCAAACATGTGCACAGTGTGTTTGAGGATCTAAGTTAAAGAACGGAACTATCAATGTGGTTAGATTGCTGAGTCAGAGCACAAGCAGGGTTTGTCGTTAGGCCAGAAATGTAGAAACGAGCTCCAAGAGCTGGTCAATAAACTGCGGCTTCGAATCAGATAAGACACAAAGATACAAAGCTGCCTCAAAAGGCAACAAGTCATATGACTGTAAAACCCCTCGCAGTCATGTGCTGATAAATGGCTTAAAGGGGTAGGGACTAACATGGGTAAGGATACAGAGATGTTTTAACTATTTTTAACCTCTCATTCATTAAGATTTATTTCAAAATATTAAACCTGAAAGATTAACTTTTATCTTTGTGTAACTTATTTCTTTGTGTCGCGAAGACTAAAGGGCTGGTTATACTAATGCAGCAGTGTGTCGCAGTGAGCTTGTTGCAAATATTTTTGATTTATGCCCATTATTGAGCGTTGCCTGCACTATTTTATTCCACGCCACAACACGAACTAGCTGTGGATCTAAATATGACTGAGGCGGTGAGGAAGTGGCTGCAAGTTTGTGCGACAATGGGGCGAAAAAGGGCGGGGATCCAGGTGGAAAAAGGGTCCCAGCGTTCTAGTGCATGCCGCTTTTCTAGCTGGTCCATCTTCACGAGTCGTTTTCCACAATGGCGGTCATACAAACCAAACAAACCAGTAAGGTACCAAACAAGAAATACGCATAGTGTGTTTTGTGGAGGTGCAGCAGAGTGTCTGTGGATGCGGCAGAGGCACATTTGCGTTCCCTGCGACACACCCGCAGACAACCTGGTTTCTGAGTATCAATCAGCCTAAGAGTATAAAGACTGGAAAGCTTTACAAATCGATGGAAGGAAAGAAGGACAGAAAGAACAAAGATATTAAGGAAGACACAGGAAACAAGAAGGACAAAGGAAAAGAAGGAAGCATGGTAGGACTCATGAAACAAATGGAAAACTTCAGGAAATAACCATGAAGAAAGGAGAAAAGGTGGAAGGGATAACAGAAAACGGACATAAGGATAGAAAAGTAAGGTTACAAGAAGGGGAAGACCAAAGGACATGGAGGAAAGGGGAAGTGCAAGGAGGAAGAAAAAAAGGGTTAGAAGAAGCCTATGAGGAAGCAAGGAAACGAGGAACAAAGAAGGAAGGACTCAAGGAATAGAGAAAATACAAAGGAAGGAAGGACAGAAGGAAGCAAGGAAGGAAATAAACCATTTAGACAGAGTGATAGAGTAGTCTGGAAGAAATGTTCATTATTGGAAAATACTGAAATAAAATGCCAGACTTGTCCAGACAGTGTTGGAGCCTGTATATTAAACTCCTGTTTAGCCTAATGGTGTTCATACAGTTGGACAAGCAGCAGCGAGGCCACCCTGGACCCTCTACCTGGATGAGAGTCACGGCCTGTTTTCACTCAAATACAGATTAAAATCGATGCCTCAAAGGTAAAATAAAATTGGACAAACACCCTCTGATCTTCCATTAAAAATTGAAACCCGCCTCTGCCGTGTTAAACAAAAGCTCTTTTACAGTTTGCTAACTGAACCAAGGTTGAATAGAAATAATCAGGACTGCAGCAACTAATCAGGCTTTTTTCCAAGGCTGGAGGCCAATGCTATTCCGCATCAGAGTGGCATGAAGGAAATTACTATCTGAACACCTTTAGAGATTTTAAGAAATAAATATGGCATTTTAATGAAATATTTTAACTTCAAAATCAAATCTAGCCAAATACATTGCAGTTATTTTAAGAGTCTTAAAGATTCTTGCATACCTGCTGTTCAACTGATGTTTATTAATGATCCATAGAGATTTAATATTATTTTAAGCACTGTTAGATATGTCAAACTGTTTCATGTTTATTAAAGGTACACTATGCAACCGGTGTTGATTTTCCAGTGAGGCTCCCTCCAGAGGGCGAAAGTAAAAGTGCACTGTCGTAAATATGCTCAGCTGTTCTCCTGGTTTCTCCGTCAAGCCAGGCGCGGTTGTTTTGAGCTTAGCAGCGAATGACTAACGCTGCGTTCACACTGGATGTAGCTGGCGCGACAGAAGCAGCGAGTTTACATGCAAAGGTCCCGCAGCGCGTTTTGAGCTGCAGGCGCTGCACGTCTGAGCGGCTGCAGCAGCGCGTCGTGCGTTTAATGCAGGGAGAGAGACACAGCGCTGATGATCACTGCTCTTAAACAGTTTATTGACGCCTAAATTAACTTAAAAGGCAGAAATCTGCCGGCAGAATATGCAGTTTGGATTATTTAGATGAAAAACACCTACCAGCTGCCGCGGTGAACCGCTGCTGATGAAGGGATCCATACTGTCGGCGCATCCCTGGTATGTGGGGGTCTGAGCGGCTCCGACAGAAAAAATATTGAAGGCAGGATAATAATCTGGATGAACTGACTACACTGATTACGTTTTCAGGTGTATTTTCTCACTTAAAAACATATTAAAACCACTTTATTCCCACTGATCACAGCAAATATAGCTGCAAGGCAGAGAAAGGATAGTGAAGCTCCGCCCAACGCGCCTCAGACACACTTTTGCAGCCAGAGCAGCAAAACTGCTTCAGCCGCGCGTCAGTACTAACTGGTACAAGCAGCAAAAATGAAGCAGCAGATGCGATTTTGCTGCTTTTGCTGCGTGAACGTAGCATAACTGCACAAAGATTGCCACTGTGCTTGCAACGAGAATGCTTTTAACTGGGGGGTGTAGCAGTTCTCGCCGTAAAGCAAGACTGACTCTCACGAGACTTCTGAGCCTGTGGGTGCGGGTCGGTGCTCCTGCAGTTGCAAGTGCAGTATTTCCCCCACAGACCACCAGGGCGGCCGAGAATACCTTTGTTCAACCTGAAATGACTCATTTAGTCATCCATAACGTTATGGAACACATTAATTAACTGAAAAATGTTGCATAGTGTCCCTTTAAAATTGAAAAAAAACACAAAGAAATGCTCACTATTCAAACTAAACTGTTTAAGTATCTTTTTAAACTTGAGCAGAGGTAAGAGTTTAGAGGCAGAAGTCAATTGAAATTGAGGAAGTTTTGAGTTTGATATTGGAGGAGAAACTTCAGCAGAATAAAACTCATTTAATCATAAATCAATGTTAAAATTGCTTTTTTAAATAATTAAAAAAAAACATAAGATAATGAAATAAGTCTGAAAATTTTCTGTGGTATATTTTCCTATACTTGGCTAGATTTATACAGTGTTCAACTATTTGGCAGGCTCTGAAGGTAAGGCAGCTGGCTTTTCAGCAGCTGTTAGAAATAAATCTGCAAAGATAAATTAGTTTTCAGCTAAAATATCTTGATTTAATCCCACAGAGCAATATTAAGCAGGGCTAGTTAAGTGGCTCATAGTATTTTGGCGTGTCCTTATTCAAACATCAGGAACATTATGGAGATTTATAAGGGGGATGATTTTTTAAGACTTAATGGGAAGAGAATATTTTACAAATATGCCCACAAAGGTTTAAAGACGGCAACAAAATTAGGAGCAACAGTGGCGTCAGGTGCAGTTTGCCCTACAATGGGAGGGTTGTCTGTTCGAGCCCGGGTCTGGCTCTCAGTGTCATTGTGTCCTTGGGCAAAACACTTCACCTGCATTGTCTACTGATGGTGGAGTCAGAGCGCCTGCTGGCGCCAGTGTACGGCAGCCTCGCCTCTTTCTGTCAGCCCCAGGGCAGCTGTGGCTACGATGTAGTTTGCCACCATCAGAGTACAAGCGTGAAGCGCTTTGGTTAAGTCTCCTGATGTGCAGGCCATTTACCAAAATGTGCCCACTTTGCTCCAGCATTTAACTCTTAGTAAACTGACCTAAAAGCAGAAACCCTGCAGACATTATGGTTTAAATCATAGCTAATTTGTGCATAATTTTTCTTATTCATAAAATGTTTTGAATATCTATTTTTTTGGGTTGATACAGCTCTCTCATCCTGTTGACATTCATATTCTTGACAGTACATTTTATGCCAAGAGCAGCATGTTTTTATAGATCGAGCTTAATATAGTTTCAAGTGCTCTATGCAGAAGCTTAAGCACAGTTCAAAAGCGATAAATAAAAACGACTAAACATCTGAACACTAAACTTATCCAGAAGGAAAAGAAATAAGAAAAAAAATAAAATCGCTATAGACAAGGTCAAGTTTAATATCAAGAAGGAGAGGCTGGCTGATCAAACTGTTTGCATTGCTGAGCATTTAAATTTCACGCATGCATGTATGATGCTTTCATTTGAACATATCTGCAGGGCTTTAAGGCAGCAGCTGATGCAACTAGAAAGACGTCCAAACTCGGGTGGAAAAATGTTTTTTAAGCGTCTTTCATCTTGAAAAGCTGCAGAGTGCTGTTTTGGTGCAGCTTCAGTAAACAGCCAACTTATGCTGGAGGAAGAGAAAAAAAATTTTCGTTTAAGATCAAGGATAAGAAAAATAAATAATTTCTTTGCAACTAAAAGGATGCACTATTTTACAGAAAAAAAAAACATCTGAAAGTGAAGAAATGTTTTGTTGGTTAAAGCACTACCTCTTGTTTTTTTTTTTTTTTTAGAGGGAAAGTTAATTGGAAATAGCGGCCTACTGCACCTTAACCCAGTTTGATTGTACTCTGAAAGGTCATCTCATTGTAAAGAAGTGTGAAGGTTTTTTTCTCCTGCAGCTTGTTGTATTCTGTGAACCACACGGCCTGCAAAGATAGCCAGCTTTCTTTTCAAGGCTGTGGATAAATAATTCAACATCTGAAGCAAGCAAAACTTGAAAGTAGGACCATTTCCCTGACTACTCAAACACCGTTCCTCAAAAATAAGAGACTGGAAGTCTAAATGTAGCAGAGACTGAGCAAAAACCTGATGAAGTTATCTCAAAAACAAACTAAAAGCATTGATAATTAGCTACATGTTTAGAAAAATAATACTTCTGCATATGAAACCTCCATTGCACATACCCAGAGGTAGTAGGTGAACTGCAGGGCAAAGATGGCGATCCCTTCATTGTCGAAAGAACCGGCCACAGAGCGGGAGATGTAGCCTGGAACGATGGCGATGAAGCAGGCTGCCAGCAGCCCGGCGCCCTGGTTCCACAGCTCCCGTGTCAGCAGGAAGGTGGAGATGGCCGTCAGGCCGCTGAACACGGGCGCCAGGAATACACATACGTCGCGGATGTGCACCGTGATATGGAGCAGGTTGAGCACATAGTGGATGAGGCCAGCGGTCACCATTAGCCCTGGGTATACCTAAGGGGAGGGACACAGAGTTTAGAGTGACATAAAAAAAATGGCAGGTGATAAAGAAGGCGAGTAGGAGAGGATTCACATGAGAGAGGTGCAAAATAGGACAAAGTTACCTTCAGACATCCAGAACATAATATACACTCTTAACACTCACAGATTCTTGTGTGATATTGAAGAATTTACTCCAAATATATATAAAAAATATTTTAAATCAAGTTTTTTTCACCATGTAAAATGTAGTTTAAAAAAAAAACAACTTGATATCAGTATCTCACAGTTGTTGCTGTTTGCAGGAGCTTGTCAGAAGCAGCAGGGTTTTATGGCCTGAAGCCATATTGGCTGCATAATGCAGAGCAGTTCCAGGTTGGTGATTTACGGGACCCAGCTGTGCAGCACCCCACTTTGGATTAGCTGCTCTCTCCTGACTTCTTTTACCGGACATCATTCTGCAACCTGATTGGACTGTTCATCTCCTCCCCTCACAGAGGAGACCCTTCATTTTAAACCCAGCTCACCTGTCAAGGTATGCTGCTGGGATTGAAACTGAGCATCTTGTATCTTTGTTTGGGTTTTATGGGAAACTGTTGACTTTAACTTGCTGAATTTACAGTTTGGGGGAAAACTAAGTAGTAGTATGCCAGGTAGTAGGTTGGAAGTGTGTTTGTTTTATTTAGTTTTATTTAGTACATGAGGCATCTGAGGACCTGATGGCTGGCTCAGACATATAGTCTGGGGTTTAACCAGATCAGAATGTGAAAGCTGTTTCCAATTTAGCTAACTATTTGTTTCCTTATTAGATTTTTGTCAACTTCTTTCTTTTACAGTTTCATTTTTTAGAAACCTTATGTGTTGAATTTTATTCATAAGAAGCTTGTAAACCACAACTGTTTGTATTTTGTACAATTTTTTTCTGCCCTCCATTTGTTATCCGATAGCAACTATAGAACTGGCAGTACATTTTTATTAAGAGAATAAAGTCTTATTCTTTTTCAATTTCCCTGGTTGAGCTGGGTTGTAAACCCTTGCAAAAAGAGAATGGCATTCAGTTAGAGCTTCAAAGTTTGAAGCGAATACAACTCCATATTGTGCATATAGGTAAGATGTGGCAATATTGACAGTTCTTTCCTCACATTTTTATTAAAATGCAAAACAAACTCAACCTGGGGTAAGATTGTTATTGAATAAAAAATGACATGATCCTTACTATAAAGCAAAGTAAATAATTCCTGTTGTCATTTCATTGGAGGCAAAACAATATTCTATTTTAACGTGATGGAATGTTTTTGCCGAAATCAGGATGCCTGTGTTGTGTTTTTTTTTTTTTATTAAAGCAAAATGATAATGCTTTAGGTTTTAAATTTTTATGTAAATACTGTACCACAGTGGCATATTTAATTAAAGCTGGCAGTCGATGCCTAGTTTGTGTATTTGTTTAGTTTTTTTTTTTTAAAGGGAAAATGAGCAGTTTGGTAGCCTTTTACAACTTCTCCAATTTAGTTGCTTCTCGAGGGAGCAGTGCTAAACTAAAATTCAAATAAAACAAATTCACCCCCTGCAGATTTTATTCATTACAATAATTAAAAAAAATAATCTACAAGGAAAACCCCAGTTTGGATTTTTTAAGACATTTTGAACCTACCAAGATGTTGAGTTTAAAAAAATGTCCTTGTTCCTAATAACTTTAATAACTGCAAGGCATGAAAAATGCAAGTACAAGATTTAGACTTTTTTATATCTTTCTTTTTCTTTTCTTTTTTTGCCAGGGGAACTTTTAAAAAGGTTGGTTTAGAGTCTCTACATTCCTTCTTCACATATTTAACGTTGTGGAAAACCTTCCATTTGCCAGCGATTTGAATTCTTTGAGAACTCAGTGTAGCGCATCAGCAGACCTAATGTGTTAATTTCCCACAGACTCACTGGTTTACACTCACAGAAAAAATAGTTCAGCTCTGTGTGAGCTCAAAAACAGCCAGTAACAAATTAAACATAACATTTCAGATTAGTTTAAGTCACTGCTGATTTTGCAGCTTGCTGGGGGAGATTAGAATGGAGCTCAGCAACAGCTCGGTGCTACATTCTTTCTAATCTTCACTTTTCCCTGTAGGATCAATAGTTTGGCTGATTTTTAATTCCTTAAAACTAAAGAGTTAACAGCTACAAACAGGCTTTGTATCAACTTCCTCTCTTAATAAGTGATTTAAGCATAATACAGCTTGACCAAGGATAAAAACATGTCAAAAAGGCTCAGGCTAATAAATGCTAATAAAATTCAGCTTGAACCAAAATGGGCATTTCAGAAGGTTAAAAGAAGAGGGAATCTCATCTTTATGGATTTACTCCAGTCTGAATCAAGCCTGCAGCAAAGGGATGATCCTGACCAACTATTTTAAAGCTACGGTAAGGAAAACAGAGGCTTTTACTCAGCAGCAAGTATTATCATGAGCTCCATGTGCTAAACCGAACTGTGGCCCGTGAAGGTGAAGCCTCACGCCTCTGTCTCGTCTAACCATGAGAGACGACCCAATTAGGCCTGCTGTGCTGTACTGGAGATGTCAGAAGGAAAAGTAGGTTGCACATAAAAAGTAAGTGATCTCTAATGTGTATTCAGTGTAGCCTCGGTCCATTTACTTCTTCTGCTAATAAACTCGTGTGTATGTTTGTAATTAGTCTACAAGATCCAAGCTTTGCCAACCAATCTACTTCCCTGAAAGCCAACCACCTTTCCCATCATTTTCTGCATTATTCCTACAATCATTAGCTAGTTTGAACTCTGTATTTTGGTTCAAAGTCTTAATGTTTATAAAGGGTTGATTTTTTTCTGGTTTTTCTCATGAAGCGTTTTGGTTTTCTAAATGAAAAGACTGTACTAAAGGACAGAGTTCTCATTATGAGACTTTCAGGACCTGACAAAAGCCTTTAAAAAAATATGTATTCCAATTGTCCTTGTGGAGACAAAGAGTGGGTTATCGGCTTGACAGCCCTCTGTTGTTACAGACTGGGACATTAAAGAGGCTTTCTTTTTCTTATTCGCAGCTCAGAAATAAAGAGCAACTGACAAGCATCCTCTGGGGAGAGGGGAGTGGGCTGGGGGATAAGGGAATAAAAAGACAAAGCCAACTGGACTGGTCTTAGGAGAGGCATTTTACTGTCACACTAACTGATATCAAGTAATCTGCCCTGCAACTGGTGCAAGTTGTCCAAGAAAGAAGTAACGTTTTCATATAAGATAAAGGGGATCTGTCCAGATTCCCTATCAAACTTTGAAATAAAGAGCGCAGTAAGGATAAGCATTGGAAGAAGAAAAAAACCCAAAAGCATCAGACTTTGGAAGCAGGAGTGAATACTACAAATTAGTGGTGGGTTTCCAGTAACAAATAGCAGGCATTGCTTTCAAAACCCAGCAACTTCAGTTACCTCCTCTAGAACGTGACCTTAATTTAAAGAATAAGAAGATTCAAGCTGTAAAACATGCTTGTAAGATGATGTTTCATAGCAAACGCTGGAGATATCACACACTAAAAGTTTACAGCTAGTGGTATTGCACTGTCACTGAGCTTTAGAGGCCATGGAGTGAATTAGAGAAAAAAAAATATCCAAACTTTTCTAAAATTAAATCTTCACAAAGAAACGCTTGATAAATCTAATAAAATAAATTAATTGCACACCCAACTACAAATGTACAGATCAGAAATTTGTAGCACATTTCTGATCTGGTTTTGGTAAAGCTTTAATTTAGACACAGTAGGCATGGGCTGGTTACTAGTTTCTAGGTATAGCTCTGCATCAACAATGTAGTTTTACATCACTCAAGTCTTCCTTAAAACTGTCCCAGTAGTATAAGTTTTTTTTTTTTTTCCCTAAAGACAGGTCAGGTTGTGAGGAGCTGCAGCAACACAAAAACTCCCCCAGCACTTCCCCATGTAGCCACTAGCTCCACATGCATTACTGAATGGATGGCAAAGGCCCACAGGATGAAGGTTGCTCTATTGGTGCTTGGACAGCGGCAGCCATAGAAAGCAATACAGCTAATATGACAGCACATCTGGAGGAGCATCACTTTGTGCCATTTATGAAGTTAAATAAAGTTTAAAGGTTTATGCCATCTTGAAATTAAAAAGTTACCTCTAGCTTTAGGCATTAGTGAAACAGTTACCGTAATTTTTGGACTATAAGCCGCGACTTTTTCCCCATTTTTCTACCTTGCGGGTTATATAACAATGCAGCTTATCTATGGACTTTTACAGCTAACGGCCACTAGGGTAATACCTAAATCTATGGATTTTACCATCCACCATGTTGACATCATATTTGCTTCAACACACAAGTATGGTAGCCGTGCGCGCGGGAATGCGGAGGTCCTCCGGAAGCAGACTTCTACCGCGAGTGGTACGAGACAGAACGACAGCAAGAAAGACGGACATTGCGACCGCAAGACAGTTTGTGTGTAAACAAAAAACCTGGGGCTTATAGTCCGGTGTGCTTGTATATGTACAAATCATGCAATTTAGCTTCTGCAGCTTATATTCAGGTGCGGCTTATAGTCCGAAAATTAAGGTACTACCAGCGTGTTACTGAGGCAGACAGCGTGGTGATTGAGCTGGTAAGGAGTTATCAAGCAGAGGCTTTTGGAGTTGTTGGGTTTTGTATTTAATTATTTTTTTTTAGTGATAGGAGAAAAAACTAAAGCTTTGTGTAAATTCGTTCATACTTGTAATTGCTGTTGCTTCTTTGTGCGTATAATCATTTAAATATATGTTGCCTAAAATCATAAGGTATGAATGCGTAGGATGCAAGGGAAAAAAAATTTAAGCATTATGCCTGTAATCAAAAAAACTGTTTCCTCAGTCAATAAAGGTAACCATGACTACAGAGTTTATGCTTAAGAGCCAACAACAATTCAAGGAAAATGTAATGTTTTTCTTCCCCCCTTTTTTAATTAAAACTTTTCACAAGTGGAACAGTAATCAGAACATTGAGATAAATTTCAACTTAAGGTTTTATGC